CCCTCCTGTCAGGGCCCTCAGAAGGTCCCTCCTGATCCCTCTTTTCTCCAGGACAAACATTCCCGCTCCCTCAGGCGCTCCTGGAGCTCCAAACCCTTCCCTGGCCGTGCTCCAGCCTCTCCTTGGAGTGGACACGGCACAGAGGGACAGTCCCCGATCCCACACAGTTCCTGATGGGATGGATCCCCTGGGATGATGCCCTGGGAATCAGGGAAGAGGTGGCAGCCCCCCGAAGCCCTCACCACTTCATCAGGAACATCAGCTCCCCGCTGGAATCCGTGGCTCCGATGATTCGCTCCGGCTCGAAGCCTCGGGCGAATCCTCGCGGTTTCTCCGACTGCAAAAGGGGAAAAAAGGAGAAAATTCCATTTGTGAATTCCCAGAGTGACATTCCCGGCTCTGGGATGGGCAGGGGGGACCAGGCTGGAATTCCAGGGACGTGGGGATGTTCCCAGGGCTCCAGGAGAGCTGGGAATGTTCAGATGGAGAAGGGAAGGACCCAGGGAGAGCTGGAGAGGGACTGGGATAAGGGATGGAAGGACAGGACACAGGGAACTAACTGGTTAAACTGGGATAGGGCAGGGAACAGACTGGGACCAGACTGGAAAACCAGGCTGGGAAACTCGCCAAGCCAAGCCAAGCTCAGCCACCCCCTCCTTCCTCCTTCCAAACCTCCAGCCTCCCATTCCTTGAAAAAACCCCTTGGAATGGCTTTTCCAGGGACCAAAAATTGGCTTTTCCAGCGATTTTCCCCGGAATCCTTTTCCCAGGATCCCACTCCAGCCTCACCTCTTCCTTCTTTTTCTTTGGTTTGCTCTCCTCCCCTTTGTCCTCCGTGTCCGACTCGGCCTTGCGCTTGCTGCCCTCGGATTTCTCGCTCTCGTGGGCGGTTTTCTGGGATTGCAGGAATTCCGCGATCAGATCCGGGCAATCCAGGTTCTCCTCGGGCTCCCAGGTGTTGTCCTCGCTGCCAGCAAACACAAATCCCTCGTTTTTCCCAGTTTTCTAGCCCAGAAAATCCCGGATGTGGCATCAGAGTGTGCTGGGATGTGGGATTTGGGACGTTTGGGCTGATCCAGGTGGGAATGCTGGATCCAATTCCCAGATCCCGACCTCCCCATGGACATTCCCGTTGCTGGATCATGGATACTCTGGGATGTTTATCCAGCTCTTCATCCCTGAGTTTTTCTCAGCTTGCACAGCTGTTTAGGGAACCAAAAATTCCTGAAAATCCATCCAGCGCTGGCTGGGAAAACTCTGGATTCAGAGCTTGGAGGAAAGGGAAGAAATTCCCTTCTCAAGAGAGAATTCCCTGGATCCCACACTGGGATTGAAGGGGGGAAATCCCTCCAGGATCTTTTCCAGGTGGGAATGGGATATTCCCACCCTGGCACAGTGGGATTTTCCAGGATTTTCTCTCTCTGCCCTGCTGGAGCTCCTTGGGAGCACTGGGATTTTCCTTGGGAACACTGAGATTTTTCCCATCCAGGATTTTCTCTCCCTGCCCTGCTGGAGTTCTTTGGGAACACTGGCATTTTCCAGGATCTTCTCTCCCTCCCTGCCAAGGATGGGAAATCCTTGGGAACACTGGGATTTTCCTTGGGAACACTGGGATTTTCCAGGATTTTCTCTCCCTGGGACGGGAAATCCTTGGGAACACTGGCACTTTCCCATCCAGGATTTTCTCTCCCCGCCCTGCTGGAGTTCTTCGGGAACACTGGGATTTCCCACAGTTTTTTCTCCCTGCCCTCCCTGGGGCGGGAAACCCTTGGGGACAGCAGGATTTCTGTGGGAACACCGGGATTTCCCCCTTCTCCCCTCCCTCCCTGGCAGGAGCAACCCGCGGGACGCCCCCTGCTCCCGCTGCAGCGGCGGATCCGGCGGGAACGACTCACTCGGAGAAGCCCTTCCACTTGAGCAGATATTCCACCTTCCCCTTGACCACGCGCCGGTCCAGGACCTTTTCCACCACGTACTCCTCCTCCTCCTCCTCCAGCACCTCTTCCACCTTTTTCTTGTTCTGCTTTTTTCCCATTGTGCTGGCCAGCTTCTCCGCTTTCCCGGGCTGCTGCAGGGGGAGACACGGGGGGAAATCCGGGATGTGGCGCCACAGGGACGGCGGGAATGCCGGGATGCACAGCTCGGGGTGCTCGGCCTGATCCAGGTGGGACTGTGCTCCCTTCCTTGGATCCACGCTGGGGTTGAGGGGGGAATCCCTCCAGGATGCGTTTCCAGGTGGGAATGGGATATTCCCACCCTGGCATACTGGGAATTTCCAGGATTTTCTCTCCCTGCCCTGCTGGAGCTCCTTGAGAGCACTGGAATTTTCCCTGGGATGGGAAATCCTTGGGAAAACTGGGATTTCTGTGAACTCCAGGGGTTTACATGAACTCAAATTCCATCAGTTGATAATCCCAATTAATCCCAGGTCACATTCCCAGATCCCAACCTCTCCATGGTCATTCCCTTGCTGGATCACGGATACTCTGGGATATTTACCCAGCTCTTCCTCCCACAGCTGTTTAGGGAATCAAAAATTCCTGAAATTCCATCCAGTGCTGGCTGGGAAAACTCTGGATTCAGAGCCAGGAAATCCCTGGATTCCAGGCTGGAAAAACTCCGGATCCAGAGATGGGGAAAGCCTGGGTTCTGAACATTTTTGGGATCTATTTTTCCCAGATTCCCACAAGGAATTCCCAAGGCCTGCATTCCAAGCCCATTCCCAGGTGTTTTTTTGGCATTTTTCTGGAGCAGCCCCAGCTGAATTCCGTGGATTCCAGGAGCCCGACCCTCCCCTCTCAATTTCTGGAGGAATTTTGGGATTTATCCCTATTCTTTTCCCACATTTCCAGCCTCTTTCACAGCAAACCCCAGAGTTACCCCACCAGAATCCCAATTTTTATCCAGGGACCCCTCTGTTTTACAGGAACACACAGAGCTGCTTCCAAACCCATCCCTGGCATCCCCCCCATCCACATTCCAGGGAGAATTCCCCTTTTCTCCCACCCAAAACTCCCCCACGGAAGATCCCCGGCTCCACACCCACTTCTTCCTGGGAAAAGCTTTCCCAGCTCCTCCTCCAGGCACACAAATCCCGCTGGGATCCCGAAATCGTTCCCCAGCTCCCAAAACTCCCAGAGCTCTGGCTCCCCCAGCTCCCAAAATTCCAGCAGGACTCCCCCAAAACATCTCCTCCTCCCTTCCCAGCACACTCCCGAGCCCAGCTCCGCCCCAAATTCCCGGATTCCCGGGATTTTTCCAGCTTCCCGCCAAAAGCTGTCGCTTGTCCCTCCCCGCTCCGCCCGATTCCCGCTCCCGCACCGAGACCCTTCCCCTCACGCCAGGGGCTTGCAAAGCCCCGGCCCCCAAAATCCCGCTTTTCCCCTCACAAATCCCGCTTTTCCCCTCACAAATCCCGCTTTTCCCCTCATAAATCCCGCTTTTCCCCTCATAAATCCCGCTTTTCCCCTCATAAATCCCGCTTTTCCCCTCACAAATCCCGCTTTTCCCCTCACAAATCCCGCTTTTCCCCTCACAAATCCCGTTTTTTCCCTCAAAAATCTCGCTTTTCCCCTCACAAATCCCGTTTTTTCCCTCAAAAATCTCGCTTTTCCCCTCATAAATCCCGCTTTTCCCCTCACAAATCCCGTTTTTCCCCTCACAAATTCCCTCTTTTCCCCTCACAAATCCCAGGTTTCCCTTCATAAATGCCACTTTTCCCTCACAAATCCCAGTTGTTTTTCCCCTCACAAATCCCAGTTTTTCCCCTCACAAATCCCAGGTTTCCCCTCATAAATGCCACTTTTTCCTCACAAATTCCCTCTTTTCCCCTCACAAATCCCAGTTTCCCCCTCACAGACACCACTTTCCTCCTCACAAATCCCCTTTTTCCTCCACAAATCACAGTTTTTTCCTTCACGAGTCCCACTTTTTTCCCCTCACAAATGCCACTTTTCCCTCACAAATTCCCTCTTCTTCCCTCAGAAATCCCAGTTTTTCCCCCTCACAAATCCCACTCTTCCCTCAGAAATCCCAGTTTTCCCCTCACAAATCCCCGTTTTCCCCTCACAAATCAAAACCCATCACCGACCCCCCATCACCCAAAATCCAGCCCTACACTGATCCCCAAATCCCCCCTCACGCTTCTCCCACCCTTTTTCTGACCATCCCTGCACCCCAAATCCCTCCCTACCCTCACCGCGCCGCCGCCGAGCCGCAATGCGTTCCGTTGTGGGGCGCGGGGTGTGACGGGAGGTGTAGTCCGTGGAGAACGGCGGCCCCGCGTGCGCGCGAGGTGTGATGGGAGGTGTAGTCTGCCGCGCTCGCGGGGCTTGATAGGAGGTGTAGTCCGGGATGGTCAGGCCTCTCCGTTCCGCTCCTTGCTAATTAAATAATTAAGAGTCATTAACGGTGGGAAAGTCCTCGCGGCTCTTCGAGTTCAAGCCGTGAGGCAAAAGCGCCTCATCCCTCAGGTCAGAGCCCCAAGTGGCACCTCCAGTGGGCTGTGCCCAGCCTGGGCCAGCTCCCAGGGAAGGGTCCCGTTTATGGCCTCCACAAATAATCTTATTTGGGGAATCTTGGAATCACTCAGGCTGGAAAAGGCCTCCAAGATCGCAACCATTCCTTTGGGGATGGGGACTCCAGCACCGCCCTGGGCAGCTGTGCCAGGGCTGTATCCCCATTTCCACGGGGAGATTCCAGCTGATGCCCAGCCTGAGGCCATTCCCTTTCCTCCTTCCCCGTCCCCTGGAAGCAGAGCCTGACCCCCACAGCTGCCCCCCCTCAGGGACTTGCGGAGAGCCATAAGGTCCCTCCCGATCCCTTTTTTCTCCAGCTCAAACATTCCCAGCTCTCCCACGCGCTCCAGCCCCTCCCTGTCCCAGGGCAGGGGTGGCGCCCGGGACTACAGCGGCGTCCGGACTACAACTCCCAGCATGCCGCGCACCGGAAGTTCCGGCACCGCCCGCGCTATAAAACCGCGCGCGGCCGCCGCCGCTTAAAGGGGCCGCGGGCTGTGCGAGGTGAGGGGGCCCTGAGGGAGGGCGCAGATCTGGGGGGTCCCCGGCTCCCCTCGGGGGGTCCCGGTGTCCCCAAACCCCCGGGGGGAGGCGGCGGCGCTGGGCTGGGCCTCACCGCCGGTGCGCGGCCTCTCCCGGCGGGGCCGGCCCGGGGCTCGCCCTCAGCGCCCGGAGCTCGGCCCGGGCTCGGGCCCGGCTCCGATCCCGCCCCGGGGAATCTTTTCCTTCCCTGGAGAGGCGAAACAGCCCCGCGAGGAAAAGCGGGGCTGTTTCCGAGCCCGGGAAAGGAATCATTGGGGCTCGCTCCCGTTTTTCCTGCTTTTCCCGGGGTTTTGGGACTCGTGGTGCTGCGGGACATCCCCGGGAGCGGGGAACGGGGTGGGACGAGGAATCCTTTCCTTCCCTGGAAGGCACAAGATCCTGAAAAAAAATCCTGGGAAAAACCATTTCCGGTGTTTAGGTGTGTCCAAAGAGAATAGGGAGTAAACGGGATTTATGGACATCCTCAGGAATTCGCCCACCACAGGGAAAATCGGGAATAACTGGGATTCATTCCCGTTTTTCTGGCTCTGGAGGGTTTTCCATGGATGGGAATGAGGATTCCTGCTGTTCCAGAGGGTTGGGAAAGGCTTTCAGGGATGGATTAGGATAAAAGATAAGGAGCCCGAGATAAGAATGAGCGCTTTCCCTGGCAGGAATTTCCCTGGAAATGAGGAATTTCCCGGGAATTCTCTCCTTGAACCCCAAGGCAGGTGAGAGGCAGCAGAGCCTTGGAGAATCCCGAATTTGAGGAAAATAACCCCAAACTGGGAATCCCAGAGCACCTTAAATTGAGGCTTTCCCCACATTCCGGGGACTTCCAGTATTCCCAAAATTCCCAGAATTCTGGGGGTGCAGAATCCGTGGAAACCCCACAGAAAGGATTTCTCTAAATCCCTTTTTTTTCCCCAGATGTTTCCCGCTGGGCTCTGGCTCTAGGATGTTGGAGAACCGAGAGGAAGTGAGGAGCAGCCCTGGATAATTCCCAAATTCCGGAGTTGGGACGAGCGCAGTTCTTGGGAATTCCAACTCCGTGGATAATTCCTGGGAGAACAGGGGGCTGAGTCCAGGGGCAGCTGGGAATGGGAATGGCTGGAAAAGCAGGGATAGGAATGGGAATGGCTGGAAAAGCAGGAATGGGAATGGGAATGGCTGGAAAAGCAGGGATAGGAATGGGAATGGCTGGAAAAGCAGGGATAGGAATGGGAATGGCTGGAAAAGCAGGAATGGGAATGGGAATGGCTGGAAAAGCAGGAATGGGAATGGGAATGGCTGGAAAAGCAGGAATGGGAATGGGAATGGCTGGAAAAGCAGGAATGGGAATGGCTGGAAAAGCAGGAATGGGAATGG